ATTTAATTTAATATCAAAAAATGTATGTATCTATTAATGTAAACATACATAATCAAATAATAATAACTTTTAGGTTATTAGAAGCTTCTAGAGTTCTAAATTTTGAACCTAATTTTAAACCAGTTATATTAAAACAGAATGAAGTTTCAGAAATACTGCTGCGTCGTATTGAACACGGAAATGCGCTTGAAATGGGATGATTTAAATTAAGTTTGCTTAATGATGTTATGATCAATGTGTATGTGCTAAATATAAGTTGTTATGTTTGTTTAAAAATTAAAATATTTGTATCATGTAAATTGATCAGAAATTATGTTTTTACTCCTTCAAATAATATAAAGCAATGTAATATGTTATATGACTATACATTTTTGAAYTTCGGAAAATATATTCGCATACATTTGTAGGTATGATTTCTAATTATTGCATTATATAATATTGTTARTAATTTATATTATAGGTACTGCCGGTAATTGAATACAAATTAACCCAATTCCTTGTGRTTTTTCTGCCTTAATATTCAAAATGTTATATCCTGAATCTCTCTCAAGGTTAGTCCAAGTGGTCCTATTTCTAGTTAAATTTAACTATTAACATTAACTGGTAACAATTTTACATAATTTATTTACAAACTACAAAATATTTGAATTCTTTATATTATATTTGGGTATGTTTTTCATTGATACAACATGTGAATTAAAATTGATTAACAATATGTTTAACTTGCTGATCAAAAATTTTTCGGTATGACAGTCTTAACAACAAAGATTAATTTTAAGAAATCTGAAATTTCATATTGTCATTCATTGAACATGGAAGTCTTTTTAATATTGTTTTTGACTACAGTCATTACCTTAAAAAAATAAGTATAAATACTTACAACATACAACTTAAAAATAATCAAAGATAATTTCAACAGAAAATAAAATCATTGTTTAATTTAAGTAAAAATTATAAAATTGTTTGAGTTAGGTCTGTGTGAAATTGTGTTGGTGCTCAAATCTCAGTGGTTATGGTATATCTAAATATGCTGTTTTCCAGGCTCCATCATTTATGTTTGATCCCTTTTTTCTTGTACCGACTTACATGTTGTTGGGTGTGGTTTAATTGTTTTATGCAATAGAATTTTTAAACATTAATATTTTTAAAATTCTTTAACCAAGTTTTGACATTTATCATCATAATAATCTTTAATTATTAATGGTATATTATATGTTCACCAGATTGGATTATAGTTACTAAAAATATTTATATTGATTATATATTATGTAGTTTTTATACATATAGGATATTATACTYGTATTACATAGAATTACCAAAAACTAACTATTTAATTTACATATCTAAACAATGTTTATGAAATATATACGAAGGACTTACTTCAACATATTTATTGTCATGCCTAAAGATTTGTACAAATTTTTATTGGGACAA